CCTAGTCAGATACTGAAATAAAACTTTGAGCCAGGGGTCAAACTCCAATTCTTATATTTATTTTTATATATATATTTGTTTATTAGATCGGGATAATGACTTCCTATTTTAGCCGCATCAGTTTTAAAATTAATAGCTCTTTCATTATGTTTAATAATAAATATTGACTTTGTTCCTTTTTTATGTATATTGTGTGTTTCCTTATATAATATTTGTGGTTGTGCTAAGTTGAATGTATGTCTGTTAGTGATGCTATGATGGGCTAGCTCTGTTTTGTTGTCTGTTTTACTATTTTTTGTATCATTAAGATGCTGATTCATACTTTTTTCCATATTTTGTCTTGTTTCGCTTATGTATGTCGCTTCACAACTATTACAATTCACCTTGTAGACGACATCTTTTTGTTTCAATTTATTTATTTTATTCTTCATCGGACTTAGGTAGTTATTTATCTTGTTTTGATTATGTAAACCGGTATTTATCTCACAATCATCATCATTAATTTTTTTTTTTATTTTATATGTTAAAGAAGGGATGTAATTTAACCTATAATATTTTTTTATTATTTTTTGTTTTCCAGACTCATTTATTTGTTTGTTATGGTAATTTTTTATTTCATTGCCTTTTCTGTAACTGTAGTATCATTAGATGTAAAAAAAATTTTTATGGATTTTTGATTAACTTTCATTTTGTTTTTATTGATTGATGGTGGTACGTTTTGGTTATTTTCTATTTTATTATAAGGTTTTTTTGAATCAGCTCTTTGATTATTAATTTGGAACCACATTTTTTTAATAATTGGTTTAGGGAACATATTTTTCATCAAGATCTCATAAATTTTTGTTTTTATTTAATTTTTGTATTTTTCATCAGTAATTTTACATGCTCTATCAGTAAGATTTTTTGCTGTATTTATGATTTGATATTTAGGGTGTTGGCTCTGGAAATTTAATAGTCTATTGCTTGTTATAGTTTTTTTAGTACATTTTGTGTTGAGAGTATTATCATTATTTTTAATTATCATTAAATCTAAGAATCTTAATTTGTCATCTACTGGTTTGTCTATTGTAAATAATATTCTTTTTTTATATTTATTAAATGTATCCAGCAAATCTTTAAATTGGTCTTTTTCTGTTATGATGAATAAATAATCTATATATTTATTCATACAGATTGGTTTAATTTTTATTTTGTCTAATGATTTTTTTGTTAGTTCATTCATGTATATACCGCTTAAATTAACACTTAAATTTGAACCCATCGGTAGTCCATATGTTATTTTATACATGTTATCCTTGTATGTAAAATAGCAATTATTTATGCATAATTTTATGCCTTCTATAAATAATTTTTTATTTTTGATTTGGGTGCATGGTTCTATTTCTTTCCATTTATCACTTATTATTTTTATGCATAAATCAATAAATAAATAAAAAATAAATTATATTTGTGAAACGGCTCTCTCTGGACATCAAAACTTATCCTGTCATATTTTTTATTTTTATTTAATTCAAGCTTACTTAATATATCCTTCATTTCAATATTTGAATTTTTTACATCATAATTATTATTTTTATTTAAATTATTAAGTGAATTATTTAAAAATTTAGATAATTTGTTAGTAGGTTCTGATATATTATTTAAAATAGGTCTTAAATTTTTATTTTCTTTATGTAATTTGATAATACCATGTATGTGGGGAGTTATATAATTATTTGGTGTTATTTGATTTTTTGTTGTTTTTGTTCTGTATCCTTTTTTATATATTGTATCTACATATTCTTTAATTTAGAATTCCTTAATAACATTTCAATAGTTAATTTAGTAAGTCTAACATTTTGTTATTATATTCATCGACATGCATAATGGCTGTTTGCTTTGTTTTATCTGATTTTATGAAGCATATGTCTTTGTGGTCTTTGCTAATTTTTTTAAAAAATCTTAAGTTATTATAGCATGTATAAATTTATTATTTTCAATTTTATGTTCGGATATATTTAAATATTTATTGATTTCAAGATTAATATGATTTCTTATACAATTTGTATGATTATCGGTAATAATTTCACTAGTAAATATATTTTCAATATCAGCTATTAATTTTATCAATTCTTTACTTTTTGCTTTGTTATTATGTTCAAAATTCATTCAGAAATTTTCACCAATTGATAACAAGTTGATTATTTTTTGGGTATTTCCATTTTAGTCAGGTTAATTTCTCTATTTTTAGTCTGAAGTGAGTTTTATTCTTCTATAGTTTTTTTCCATTGGATTTATCAGATCATCTTTATCACTTATTAGATTAGAAGTTTTTAAATTGTAAGTTTTTTAAAAATAATGATAGAACTCTCTACACAAAATGTACTAAAAAAACTATAACAAGCAATAGACTATTAAATTTCCAGAGCCAACACCCTAAATATCAAATCATAAATACAGCGAAAAATCTTATTGATAGAGCATGTAAAATTACTGATGAAATATACAAAAATTAAATAAAAACAAAAATGTATGAGATCTTGATTAAAAATATGTTCCCTAAACCAATTATTAAAAAAATGTGGTTCCAAATTAATAATCAAAGAGATGATACAAAAAAATCTTATGATAAAATAGAAAATAACCAAAACGTACCACCATTAATCAATAATAACAAAATAAAAGTAAATCAAAAATCCATAAAATTTTTTTTTACATATAATGATACTATAGTTACAGAAAAAAGCAATGAAATAAAAAATAACCATAACAAACAAATAAATGAGTCTGGAAAACAAAAAATAATAAAAAAATATTATAGGTTAAATTACATCCCTTCTTTAACATATAAAATAAAAAAAAAATGATGAAAGAGCTATTAATTTTAAAACTGATGGGGCTAAAATAGGAAATCATTATCCCTATCTAATAAACAAATTAGATATATAAAATAAATATCAGAATTGGAGTTTGACTCCTTGCTCAAAGTTTTATTTCAGTATCCGACTAGGCTCTCCCTAGAGGAGACTGAAATATGATTTCAAGGTAATATATTCAATATTGAAACTAGTTACATACTTATAAGAATAGTAATAATTAAATAAATAATAAACTTAAAATTACTGCATTTTAGGAATAGGACAATAAATAATAAAAAAATAATATAATGTGGCAAATCTTATGGAGAATAAGATGATGTGGAATACTGGTAAGATTGACAAAAAAATTAAATTATTGTTGTTTAAAGTTATATTAATAAATGCTGTATTGATTGTATAAAATTGTTGATAGCGATAATGTTGTAATTTCTAAATTGAAGATGGGATATAAAAGTGGATCCCGAAACGTCATGATGTAGTTGAAAGGTAATGATTTTGGGAGAATAAATTACTATAATACATATTCTTACTTATATACCTCAACTTTTATATTCCTCTTTGGCTTTTTAATAACTTACAAGGGGATTGCCTGGTATTTCAATCAGTGATTTCTATGAAAAACAGTTTCTGGTTATTCTACATTAGAAGCAAATCAGAATACCATTGTTTGTTTCATTGAATGGGCTTTAGGTACTGAGAAAAAAAAAAAAAAGGAAACAGAAATTCTTTATTTTATATCTCACTAAAAAGATGATTCTGCTGCCAAAAAAAAATGTTTTATATATTACTTCTATTATATGTTGAGGCATAGCAGTGTATCTTTGTTGTATACCTTTCTTTAAGATACAATATATATGAAGCTACTAACCATCTGCCTAAAATAGAATTTTATTCTATAAGAAACGTATATTTTCACTACATGACAAAGATAATCATAGAATTAGATTATTGATTATTCTATATGTTTCTTTTTTATGTTGATTTAACCTGTTGCAGGTTATTAGCACTTATCAGTCAAGTTAGGTTGAAAGACTACTACATAGTATACTGACTAACCTTCCTTATTGTGTGGCTAGGGAGGAGATCCTAGGGTGTCTATTGTATGTTTTCTATTTTTTTTTTATGTTCGTAGAAAGTTTATTGTCTCCCCTACTTGGAGGTGCAATGGCTGTCTCATCAATGGTAAAATATTCGGACAATGAGACTGTCTTGTCTTCCCAGTCCACGAATAAATTAATATTGAATTATTTTCCCCGAATTAAATTAAATTGTTCCAGCACTGTCATGTAATATACCTGACAGTTTATAAACTCTTTTCAAATACTGTGAATATTTTTTAAAGAATTAATTTGAAATTTTAAAAAATGTATAACTTTATTATTATTTTTTACAATAAGCCTTTCAGAAAGCATATATAATGTACAAAAGATATATTATAGATAAGTAGTATGAATTATTATATAAAAGTTTAATTGAAAGAGGATGGAAATAATCTGGAGATAGTATAAAACAGATAATAAAAGTTAAGTAATAATGGATAATACCTGATCTGCGTGAGATGTGAGATTAAGGGAAACAAAAATAAATTTATTTAATGAAATTACCTAAAAAATACAACTGAAAGTTGTACAGAAATAAGTAAATCTATTTATAAAACAATTAAGGAGATGGTATAGTGTAGATGTAATAAACATTAAATAATAATGGTGTATTAATGATCTATGTGAAACGTGTGATGAAAGGAAACGAAAAGAATTATAAATAAAGAGGAAGTATAATGTGATTTAATACAAAATAAAGGTAAAAATGGTATAATAATATAGAATAAATTAAGGAGATAGCATAATGCTGAGATAATAAATATTAAGTGAAAAATTGAGTATAACTGGTCTATGTGAAATGTGAGATAAAGAAAACGAAAAGGGATGTATAAATAAGATTTAAGAAAATGAAATGAATAAAAACTTTATTAAAAAAAAAAAATGAAAAATCTTTTTTTTTATGTTGATAATAATTGAAATAATTTTTAATCCATCACAAAAAGACTAATTAGTTTCATGATTCATATTTTCAAGATGTTAACTGATAAAAAAGAATTTTAAGACTACTTTTAATTAAAAAACATTTTTATCCATTTACCATATTGAAAGCAATAGTTGGTTGATTTATGATTAATTCCATCATTTTTCTTGATTTTTTTTCTGCTGTAACTTTCATAACTATAGAAATATAAGATTTGTACGTGTAAGTAGAAAGTTTTTTAATTAAAATTTCAGATTATATAAAATAATTTCAGGTATAAACTAAAAATTGACCAGACCTTAAGAGATCTTACATATCTAGTTATTGACTCACATATTTATTGTACTTTAATTGTAATTAACATTACATGATTCTTATCTTTTAGTAAAAAATCATTCTATAATGAAATGTCTACTAAAGTTTCTGTTGATAAATTTCAATTTATATAAATACAAAGTTAACTACATTGATATGTTTTAAATAAAATAAAAAATAAATTTGTAAGAAAAAATATTGTCCATTGATGTAAACAGTATTATTATCAATTATATTCTCCAACTAGTTTCATACTTTAATATTATCAACATTACTAATAAAGTATTAGCTGTAAATTAATTGTATTGCAGGAGAAATATCTTATTTCTGATACGGCATTTTGTAAGTCAGTCAACAATACCATTTAATAATAAATCCCTATGTAATTATTCATATGTTTGTAAAACAAGTTTTAATCTGTTATTCCTCTTCTATACATTGGGTGAGCAAAATTTACTTGGCAATAGCTGAAACAGAAAAAACAACTTCAATTTTTTTAATTAGTTATTATTCCTGTAAAATTGTAAAAAATCATTAATACATTATGTTTACATAAAGACTAATGTCATATGAATATTTTGTTTCTCACTCTCAGTTATAATTTTCAAAACTTATTACCCTCTAATATGTACTTTTGTGTTATAAATTTTCCCCTGATCTATTTCTTTCAGCTTTGTCTTTCTAATTATATAATTACGTTTTTAATAACAAGATATCACTAACAGACAGTTGTATGATTAGAGTTCAAAATGCAGTTCAATTGAGGTTGATTCTAATTTGAACCAAGTTCATATCAATGGGTTGTATGATTATAGTTATCTAATGATCACTTGATCTCAGTTCAAGGGTCAGTTGGCAGCATTGAAGTACACCTTTATTAACCTTTCACCTCTTGTTCCCTATTTGTTTTGATCGTCAGATTGTTTATTATTTTAGTTATTTGACATGGAACCTCTCAAAAGAGAAAGAAAACTTTTTGAAAAAGTTATTATTGACGCTAGTAAAAAAGTATTGCAAAATTGATTGAGCATGAGCACAAATACAAATAAAATTTATTCAGAAAAAAAACAAATACTGAAATAGAAATCTTTCGGCCAGAAAGCACCATTAGAAAATTTCTATTTATGATTATTATTTATTTATCATTATCAGTTATTAAAAATACAGTTGAATGAATCATATAGTTAATTTTTAATTTGTGGTATATATTTTTTTCTTGTCTCTTTAGAAATATAACTCCTTAACTCTTAACATACATAGTGTTCCTCTGTAGGAAAACCTATTTGTCAGAAATTGTAATTAAACCTCAGACACTACCATTCAGATTACTTTACTTGACTTAGACAGGTAGGTGGACTATTTGTACTTGAACATAAGCTTGAAGCACAGGTGGATCTACAGTAGGAGGTGGCTTTTGGGCTGAAGTCTCCCCCCCCCCCAAATGGTGAAATATTAAATACATGTCTTATGAAAAAAATCATCTCAAAAATATTATTGTTCGTTAATTACATTTAATAGAAATTCAAGAATCACTTAAACATCATTTCTTATTGGTACTTAGTTTCTTTATTTTTCTTCAAAAGTAATTATCGTTACATACATAGAAAAAAAAGCTCTCATGCTGAAGCCCCCTCCCAAAAATTGATTCCTGGATCTGCTAGTGGCTTGAAGGATATAATCTATATTGCATTGATTATAGATGTGCAAGATATCAGAATGAGAGATTTACCTCTAATTATGCTGTGGGCAGTAATTATAACAAAAAATATTCATGTTCCTGTAGGACACCATCAAGTCAGCTACCAAATCTCAGTTAATTTTCTACATTTGAATTTATTGAATAAATTTCATTGAAAAATAACTAATAACTTTATATTATATTTTCTTTTTTGAATGAGTATATTATACTTTGAAAAGTTTTTAGTTGAAAAATTAGTTATAATTAAAGCTACACTTGATATTCCACAAAATTATTTACTTGAAGTAACAATGCAAGATAAAAAAGAAAGGCAGGCAAGTATATATCTGTTCCCTGTCCACATATCTAAGAGTTGTTTCAAGTGCAATGTAAGTTTATGACTAGTAGCACCAAATAAGATTTGTTTTTGATCAGAAATAATCCAAGAGTAAAAGATAAGTAATACACCTAAAGTAATTGTAATATATACATATTACTATTAATCATAATATTATATTACTATTATCTTATGACTACTATTTGCCTTTTTATGTTTGCTTATATCTTACATTTCTGGTGCAATTTTTAGCCCTGATGATGATGATCCATATACTTTGGTCGAAATGTTGACAACTAGAATAAAAACACTTTTGCTGAAAATCCCGCACTGTGACTTCAAGTAAATAATTTCATAGATAAATATAGTATAAAAATTAATACAACATAAATTGTTTGAAGTAAAAAAATACATATTAAATAATAAAATATAATTTAAAGCTTTTAAATTTTCACTTTCTGTTTGTTCCAAATCAGAAACAAGAATGGCAATTCATTACAAAACTCGATTTGATTCATGACGGAATTTTAACTCTCATGCAAGGTGTTCTTACATGGAACATTTAAGTTTTTCAGAATCTAAATCCCTCATAATTTTAAAATTATTTTTCTGTTTTTATATAGCCTGTAAATTATTTTTTAAAAATTAAAATTAAATAAATCACCTAAAGGTATTATTTCGCTGGTACTTTCCACCGTGCTGACTGCCTGGAGTTGCACTGCCTTAGTGGAATAGCAAGGAACCGGTTTCACTGCCTTGGGTAATACAAGCGAAATAAAACCTTTTCAATACCACTAAAGCAGTGCCTAACTGATAGCAGTCAGCATGGTGGGCAGTATCAGCGAAATAGTCCCTTAAGGGTTAATAATATGGTTTTGAGATTGGAAATACCAAATGATTTGTAATTGTGTATTTTAAAATATGGTTATAAAAGTAGTGAGTTCAGTTAAACTTAACTGAACCTCTTGGATTGTTCACCTTAAACTAGATGCAAATCATAACCTTCATTTATACAACTGGATTTTTATGTTTGACAGTAGTTCAAGGTTGAACTTAGCTTGTACTCCAATTCTACAACTGGCCCTAAAGTATACCCCCTAAACTTCTCCCCAATCATCAATAGGATTTCAATCAACTGCATCTACTATTGCTATTGTTATTTAATACTTGATGGTTGACTATTATATATTTTAGAAAAAGGAGATAGTCCGGGATAGCGATCACAAAAAGACTAAAATAGTGAAAAAAAGTAAAATAGTTTTTTTTTCCCAGACCATCTCCTTTCTCTACTATTGTTTTTATTCAGTTTTATCTTCACTTTTTTTCTTCTCCACATTTATATTGCTTGGTTATCTTTATCATGTATTGTTGTTACATTGGGAATGATCTAAGGGTAAGTCAAAACTATGAAACTATGAAATTAGATTAACCTTGTTGATTTAATTGAACCTTTCCTTGGAAAAGTATTTCCAGTTTATTTATCAATTCCATAAATAAAAGTTTTGGTGTGTAACAAAATCCATACTTGATCAAATTAAACCTTTACTTATTAATGGATATTATGAACAAAATGAATTTGTATGTAAAGAATGGAGTCCTAATCTTATTAAAAGTAAACACCGGACTAAGATGAATAATACAGGATTCAAGTTTTGCTTAGTCAGATAGTGAAAGTTGCATTAAGCTTTTTGGTGGAGCATATTTCAAGTAATTAACAGATTTCTATTTTAGCTTTGAAACTTATTTATAATTAAGACATTATTTCAGGAACTAGAAATCTTGTGATCAAAACCTCTCAAAATAATTTTATGTTTATTTATATAAACATATGGATTGATTGCATTTTTTTTCTGTTGGGTTTGCAGACCTTGTACATCTTGTGCTGCCTGAACAAGCTTTCTTCACCTCTGGGTTTCTTCACCTTGGGCTAGTGTGTTATTAAATTTGTAATAAATTATAAATTCCATAAATTAATAACCTAATTGTTTTATCTTAGTAAAATAACTGAATATACTTTTGCTGATTACCTGTGACAGCTTCGAACATTGGAAAAATTTTGATACATTGATTTTATTAAGGCTTCTTTTATGCTTAACTACTTTTGCTGGAGTGACCATTGTCCCAGGAAGCTCTATGCCAACCACATTATTACCTGTTTGAAGACCTTGAAGACATTGCTGCAATCACCCAAACAACTTATATTAAAAAGTATTAGTTTGAATTTTTGGATCAGTATGGCTTAGTGTAAGTTAAAGTATAACTTAGTATAGTATAATTTTAAACCTAACTCTGTGTGTCATGGCCTACAAGTCCCTCAACCTCCTCAACTATTTTTCTCTATTTTAACTGATTCTCTCAGCTCCTCTTGACCTTAATAATTGTTAAGTTTTGCATTAACATTCTCCAACTACTATAGTATAGGCCTGCCTCTTCCTCTTTTCCATCAGGACATTCTATATTATCTTCATTGAGAATTTTTATTTATTTATTTGATGTACATGACAACCATCTTATTTTCTCCTTTATTATATGTGCATAAAACTATAAATGTACCTCAGTATATATCTCCAAGTATATTGTTAGTTGCTGTGCATAATCAATTTCCTTATTTGGTTGGGTCTATATATATCTTTCTTTCTTTCCACCCACTCCATAATGTCTCCTGCTACTTTGTAAAGGTATATGTTTCACTTCATAATTACTGTTGGATGAAATCATAATTATTTTGAGATTTCTGGGACTTCTGTGTGCCTAGTACAATTAGTTACCATTCTGCATTCTCAATTTTATTTATTTTTCTGGTATGTAACCTTTAGTTATAATGGTGTGGTAAATTCAAATTTAAATATTTCAGAAGCTTACCAGATATAATAGAAGTTTGCTGACTTTGTCTTTTCTAGTAATGGCATATGTTATTTGTTTCACTTTAGTTTATTATGAATACTTTCTATGATTTTCCATATAGAAACCTAGAGCCCTGTTCTTTATTATATTTTTTCAAATTTCTCTATTAAAGAATCTAATAATTATCTGGAGCAATCAATTGTATGAAAGAATATTAATATTTATTCATTTAAAAGAAGAGTTTTCTTAATTTAAAATAAATGTTTTAAACAAATAGAAGTATAATTTAGGAGGACTAATTGAGATATATATGAAGAAAATGAAGATTGTTTTGTGTTTGGTGAAATTATCAGGGTGTAGAATATTAAGGAGATGGAATATTTTGTTAACCAGAAGTGGTTACCTTTGATAATCTTTCATTGCAGTAGAAAACTTAGCAATCACCTTGGAAAATGTGTTAGTGACCCCTCCTATAAACAACCAAAACCATAGTCTATGTCTCGGTTCTTGTATGGCAAACATTTCCCCCATTGAATCTTTTCCTTCAAAGCAGAGGCAGAATTTTAAGCGGGTGGGAAACTTCTCCTAGACTTTAATATAATGTATTGGAAAAAGTATAAATACAAGAAAAATAGATATCTTCCACAAAGTTAAGACCTCTAATTCTGTCTTCTACTAATGACAGTGATGAAATGGTGGCCGAGCATGTTAGAGACTGGGGTAGGGGATCCCATCTCCTGAGGCCAATGGTGCATGAACCTCCTCTCCTCCCGTGATATTTTATGATATTAAACACAATTTAAGCCAAAATATAATTTTAAAAATCGTAGATCATATACAGTTACATTTGCTGCAATCTGTTCCATGTTTCCTTTTATCCTCTTATTTGTAACTTCTCAATCCGAAAGTTTAAAACCCCTCAAAATGTTCTTCCCTCAAAAATGTTGATGACTTGCGTCATGAAAACCCCTTCTGGCCAGGGGGTTCCGAAGTTTCCGGTTTTGAACGTTACGGCTTTGACTCCCACGTAGGTCAATTAACTTGTTGCAAATTCTTAACTATTGTATTATCTAAATTTCGGTTTATCAGGTTGCCGGAAAACGCGTGTTTTGTACAGACGATAGCCCGTTCGGCCACCCCCCCCCCCCCCATCCAAGACACACTTTCCTGATTTATATCCAAACCTTCGCTTGCGATGTCACTTTGTGGGCCCTGGCTTCTGGGTTATGTCTCTCTGGGGTTATGACGCGCTGCGTGAACCGTTAGGCAGCTGTTTGAAGAGACAATAGGGACCACAAGGCCTACTTGCTCTACTAGTCCGCACATCAGTAGCAGTTACAGTAATAGTAATTATTGAACAGTGGCGAATCTAGAGGTAGTTCTTTGGAACTTTTGGGATGAATTTGGGACAAATATTAGCATCTTAAATTTTTAGTGACGATCTTATTTACATTAATGGAAAAATAATAATTAAACATTTGGGGTTAAACTGTGAATTCAGGAAGAATTTAGATAGATTTAGGGAGGAAATGGAGATATGAACAAATGATAAAATGAACCACTCTAGTGGAAAAATGTTAGAGACAGGGATGCTTAGAAAAAAAAAGTAGTTGGAGAACTTGAAGTGGTGGAGACGGTGAAAAAGAAGTATATATATAATTTAAATTATAACATGGTTATTATTTAAATATTATTTTGTACATAATAATTTTATTTTGCATAGATAAAGGTTATTTTGTTTCATGAGAAAAATACATGACTGATCTGGCAACACAGTTTTGGAGGAGTCAGTGTTTCCCATAGGCTACAAATTTTGAAGATCCTTGATTCTTTAAAGGATAGCACCCATTGGTGGCAGATAAAAACCCTATTGAGAACCTGTCATTTATATCTGGCTATATTACCTTTATTTATTTATTTTTGGTGCTGCAGTCCTGACAAAGCATGATCCTTTCTTATAATCTTTTTCCAGCCTCCTTTATACCAGACGAGCATTCACTGCTATATTATCTGTTGTACATAAAATCTGCTAGTTTTGTAAACAGTTGATTCTTCTCACAGGATAAACTGTTACTTTTTTATTCAAAATAAATAAAATTCAAACCACTATTAGTAACTTGACTATGAGACTATATAAGCGCAAGAGATGGACGATCTACTTATAAATAAATTTCCAGAGCACTCTTTTTACTAAGAGGCCTGAACTTTGTATATCTTTTCATCACAGTCTTAGTAAATCAGGGATTCTGACAGTTCCTCTTTAGTTTTTAAGATGTCCCTTCCTCAGCTGGAGTTCAATACTTTCCCTGAATAAGTAAATCATGAAAAAAAAGAACAGAAAAACTTGCTTTTTCATGTGACAAATCATTCTGATTTTATCTGATCCTGAGGAAGATAAGTATTTCCCTTCGTCAGCACACTCTTTTTAGGTATTATAAATTTTATTTATAGTATAAATAAAAATATAATTAGAGAGACTGTATTTGGCAACATAATCCTGATCTTCACTTTAAACTCTTTTTACACAAACTCCGAAATTCCTTAATTTTTTTATAAATAAAATCATGGAAATAAGTATAATAATGGTCCCCAATTCCAAAAATAAAATTTTAAATTGAAATCTATAAATTTAAAAAGTCGCCAGTTCATTAAATCTTGTATAGATATATTTCATTAAACCCTACTATGAAATAAAATTTTACGGACTGTAAAACCACATACACCTGAAGAATATAATGGTCGATAGACTAGAATATTTCAATATAAATTTAAGCACATGTCTAACAATGTTCTCCTCTTATATTTTGACAAATAGGAAATACTGTAAATAATTGGGCCATCTAATAACTGCATTGGTATGTTTAAGACTCAAAACCTTAACATATTTTTAATAGATTTAAATTAAATTTGTAACTTAAAAATGTCTTACCTTCACAATTTTAATGAGGAACACAGCAAATGTAAGAAATGCAATTGTCATCAGTGCACCTTCCAATGAAGGAAATGCAAGTACATGACCATGACCTCTGGCCTCGACACCAGTTCTTGACCATATATTGCTGCTTGCTCCCCCTGTAATTATTTTCAAAAAATGAAAGGCATTATTTTTTTATTTTAATTGCTCATGAAATGCAAGTCTTAAGAATAAAGTTTTAAAGAAAAACTAATAAAAAGTAATTAATTTTTTATTTATAGGATTGAGAGTATATCACTTATGAAAAACCTATATTTTATAAGTTTTTGATCTTGGTTGACATTTTGAGACTAATTATACATTATCACATACCTAAAAATTTGTCTTCCTATCACCTCTGAAATAATACTTTTTTTTTTTTTATCTCATTCCTGAAATAATTAAAGGCATTGCAATTTAAAAAACATCATTAGATTTATTTTTCTTTAACTTTTAACTTTTATGACTCAGAAATTATTATTGCATGTTGTTTATAAGAATAATTCTGTATAAGTCAATGGAATTCTAAATCCTTATAATAATGAAATGTATATGAAAAATTATTAACATCCAATAATTCTGAGGAAATCATCAATGTTACAGAGTACTTATATTCAATAAATAAATATATTTAAATGGGAATAGTAAAAAATAGGAATACAACTACATGATTTTATAATTGGCTGTATAGAATATTCCAATGCCACAAAAAAAAAAAAAAAAAAAAAAAGTCAATGGAATAATATGAATGTTAATTGCTGTGAGATAAAATAAATACGAATAACTTAAAAACTCCTTATAATCATATTTTAGTTTTTAATGCTTGCTATTATTTTTAATTTATAATAAAAAAAAGTAAGTATGAATTTATTTGGACAGACTAGGAGTGAAGATTGACATTTTTATTAAAGTGATAATTGTTCAGAATATATGGAAAAATTGTTCTTATGTGGGGAAACAACCCAAAACATAGATAATGTTAATTTAATCATTACTGATAAAGGTATAATAACAAGATTTACTTCATATAATTATCAAATAATATTCCACAGTATACAATATAATATTTAAGAAGTTATAAAAAACATAAACTATTGAGTTGATTCATGTAAAAAAAAAGAATAAAAGATTTGGATCTTGTAAGATAAACTCTGCAAATGAGTTTCAGGTATATATATGTCTTTATATAAAGTCTCAACTAGCAATTGATTGAAATATATTTTTTTTTAAAATAGATACAAAGATCAAACAAAAACAGGTTTGAGTGTATTTACTATATTTTAAATATGATTAAATAAAACTATTAAAAATATTGCTAATGTAGTTGGCATAACTATTTTATAAATGTAAAAATTAATATCTAATCCTTATAAAAAAATGTATTTCATCTATTGTCTACCTGGGTAATTCTCCAGTAACTCATGAAAATTTATTTTTAAATTGGTTACATTTTTGTTTTGTTTCTATATGTATTAGTTCACTTTACAGCTTAATAAAGATGCATTCATAAAGAACGTATATATACATGCACTCAGGTAACTGGTATTCGCCATGTTCTGAAGTTATGGAAAAGTATTCAATGCAAAAAATAAATTAGCAATTTGTGAGGGTCATTGATGCTTAAATAGTTTGAAAAGAGCTAAAATCCATTTTACTTACATATCTTAGATAGTAATTGTGACTGAAGTTTTTTCAAGAAATTCTCTTTTCCATTTATTGAAGTCCTTCCTTCAGCTGCTAATGTTTTATGGACTTCCATCAGTATTCTTTCCATATCCATGTCTAGCGAGATTGAAGGCTTGCTTTCCATAGCCAACGGTGGTTGGTTGTGATTTCGTTTTGGTTCCTTTGAATATGGGTTCACCTTAGGCAATTCTATCCATTCTCCTTTGGATGAGAGAAAATTATAAAAAAAGTACCATAGAAGTAATCTCCTGAAATTGAATTTCCTATAAATTATGCATTCTGCAAGAAATATACTGAAGTGTTTAAACTAAGGTAACTAATTTATTAGTCTAAAACTTTCTTCATTATTATTTTCACCTCACTTCCTGTCCATATGTCTGATTTAATAAATTAAAAAATCTAATTTAACAAATAAAAAGTGTAACTTATAGTTGGCATTGCATGTGATCATTGGCAAAACTTATTCTAGGACTAACCCAATACTGTGTATAGATGAAGGGAAATTATATACAGAGGAGGGAGACTAAGTATCCTTAAAACGTCTTTATAAAATAAAATAAAAAAAACACTATAAATTAAGAGTTTTTATTAATTAAATTAGACCTATGAGCAAGAAGTGAGGAGAAAATAATTAAGGTGAAAAATATAGAAACTTTTTTTTAGGTTTAGGCAACCCTTTTTCGATCCCTGGAATTCACATTTCAAAATTATCTGATGGAAAAATCAAATAAAATGTAGATGACAGTGTTCAGGATATCTAAGATACATTAAAGCCCAAAGAAGAACATGTTTTCCTTCTCAATTAAGTAAGTGCCAAAGATCTCGAAACTAAGAAAGAATTTTTCTCTAAATAATAATAATTATCCTCATCAATCTTATTTAAATGTATAATGTTGTAATAAAAATAATGTTTTATAGTTTTATATTTAAAAAAAAATAAAATTCCTGATCTGGTACATACCAGTTTATTTTCTCTTCTAATCTTTATGCATAATCACTTAAATATCTTAGGGAACATATGTATATCATTATTTGTTTTTTAATATTTTTTTTTATTTTAGTTTTTACAATTTCTTTCCCTACATATTAACAGTTATTATTATTTTTTTAATTTTTATATTCCATCACTACAATGCTTTACCTATAAAATAGATTTTACTTTCCTTTCTAATTTCATTCAGTGATTATTATGCAATTATTTTAGCTCCAATATTGTAGTACTGAACCCCTATTACCCAACTGTCCTCGTTAATTTATCCTAAGAGCTTAATTAATACTTAATGTATTACATGTATTTTGTTATTAATCATTGTAATAAGTCTTTTGACCAGATTTATAGTTAATATATATGAACAATACTGTTATTCAAAAGGGACCTAGTCCCAGAATAAAGATGATTTTTCTATTCTATTCTATTCTATATATACCTAGGTATATATAAATTAGGCCAAATCATAAAAATAAGTAATTTTATTTATTTATTATAGATAGAAATTATTATCATATATTTTTTTAACAAAAATTTTGAATACATTTTTTAAAGAAAAACATCTTTTCAGTAATATCTTATGCGACCTCTTGGAAATCCCGACTATTATGATTTGTTCCCTCTCCATTAACACTTTATCCTTGATGGACAAATAAATATGTTTCTGATTATATTTTTAAGTTGAAAAACATATTTTGACCAAATTGCTGGTTTAAGAATTATTAAATACAAAATTACAATGTTTTATTCGTTTAAATAAATACATGTATGTAATTTATCTCATAGAAAGTAAAAAATTATTTAAAGAATCAGTAATAAACGGGAAGAAACACTGAAAAGCGTCCATAAAGCGTCAAATTTTCACAAGTCCAGAATTAGGAGAGCAGGAGCGCTTAGGAGGTAATACTCACTGCCATGGCTTTAGCCTCTGTTGTAATGCAACTTCTCAATTGATGTTTATAGATTTATTTTCTGGTGTGATTTTTTTCTTTTATATTTCTTACAATCCACCCCAGGTAATGTGGGGGAAAAATTAAACCTTTGCAATAATTTATTATAGTAATTTTTGCTGAAAACACGGGTACTTTTAGGTGACAAAAAATCATCTATTTTTTTACACGACTTGAGTTGAATCTCAACTTATTTCGTAATAAACTTAATCAATATGGCCTTAAAGCTTATTAAAAAAGAAAGTTTTTCTAAACGTGAGTTATCATTTATCTGTATTACAGTTGGAGGATGATAAAAAAACAATCGAGAATAATTCATGATTTTTTTTTTAAAACACAAGTTAGCTTGGTTTATCCGCTTAAAAGTCCTTTTACTTTTACTTATCTTCAGGTGAGTACCAGATGTCCCGCGTCCAGCAACGTTTTCAAAAAGTCCCGATTTTCGGTAAGAATGGAAGACAAGCTAGAATATGAGTTTTATATTATTTTGTTGGTTTTATAATGCTAAACTTCAATAATAATGAATAATTGTTAAGAAACAGATTATCGAAAACTGCTTTGCAAGTTCACATTGTTGATCAGTTTTTAAAATTCGACCACCATTGTTTGAACTGATAATAAACAACAAGGAAACAATGAAGTATCGTTATTAATAAAATATATTGATGAGGAAAAGATTAAATCTTGGGCATCAGCAAATTAACTTTATTTATTAGTTGGATACCGAAATGTTGTCACCTTCAATAAGTTTTTAGCCTTTTAAAAAAGAGCTACTTGATTGTGTACAAAACATTTAAGTCTTAAAAGCTGTATTATTATTGAAGTCATAAATTATTATTGAAGTAAAAAAACACTAATATACCTATAATATTTGCATTATGAAAATTTCCAATTCAATCCACCAAAAATGAGCATATTTCATTTGGGCCTTTCTTAGACGAACCTTCATTATATATATACAATTTTCCTTTATTTGTTATTGTATCGGGATTGTTAAAAATACTTTTAATGCCAGTTGCGGCATATAAAATTCTTCCTGAGCTAATACTTCGGTTTTAAAAAAGTCCATACATTTTGGACTAAGGCCATAACCAACTTAGCAAAAAATTAGAATAACCATATTTGACGCACGATCCACCCCAACCCCTTTTACTTTAAGAATACTGGATTAATATTTTTTATTCTGTAATAGATACCGAAACATTCATTTAGAGAATTCAATTCTTTACAAGTTTTTACTGGGAATGTTTTATTTTTCTTCAATCACTCCTTTCCAAGATATTAATGTAAAACAACCTTTAATTTGATTTTTCACAACTTATGATAGTGTTAATTTCAAATAAATTTGTTAAATATAATAAAAGGATAAAAATCAAGGATAAAGATTGCCTGGATAGAGAGCTTTTTTTGGGCAAAACTGAAAGAGGTTGGGGTTCTTGTAGGTGGGAGGAAGAGACGAGGGAGAAAATGGACTAAGGAAGAGCGAGAGGAACAGTCAAGGAGGATGAGAGAGTATTGGAGTAAGAGGAAGGCTGAGGGTGTGAAGAGGAAACGGAAATGACATGCGCCTGGTCCTTTCTGGCCGGATCGTATAAGAAAAAAATTAAATAAAAGGAAATTCTAAGATCAATTAATAACCAACCTATTATATTTTAAAACACATTTATGGGTTGTTGATGATTCTGAATAAAATTAAAATTACCTAATTTAGTCTTGAATTCAATACTGAAACCTATCTGGACCTACGGACTTGAACTGTGGGGAACTGCTAAACATTCGAATATCAAACGCATCCAATCCTTCCAGTCCAAAGTACTTAGAACAATAGCCAATGCCCCATATTATGTCACAAATAAGACCCTACACCATGACCTTAACATCCCATTTGTCCTCGACATCATCCCATCCAGATTCTCAAACTTTCACCAGAACCTTATCCATCATCCAAATCCTCTAGCTCAATCCCTATCCAGCTCCCACCATCCCTACAATCCCCCTCGAAGGTTAAAACGGCAGTGGCCGCGAGATCTATTGTAAATATGCTTCTGGAGTCCTGGCAATGTGGCCAGCTTCTCCACTCAAGTCATGAGCATCTGTGGCTCTAGTGCCCTCCTCCAGCCTCCACTGGCTTCTAATACTAGTGATGCGGCTGGGAAAGTGGCACTGGGATCTCTGGAGTCCTGCTTTGCTTTCCACATGTGGGGAGAAAAACCTGGCTCGGAGATTCCTGGGCGAATGTATATATTGTATATAGGTATGAATGTGTTTAGAAGTTGTTATTTTATTTTGTTTGTTTATTTATTTTTTTATTTTATTTATTTATTTTTTTTCCTATTGATTTACTTTTTTTTATAAGTATTATTTATTTACTTCTTATATTTATAGTTACTTCTGTATTACTTTTATATACTGTATGAATGAGAACTTCTATCCTTAATACTTATAGCCCTCCAACAGTGGCTGATTGTATTATTATTCAATAAAAAAAAAAAAGTCTTGAATTGAAAATAAGTTTGATCAATGATCAACTTTATTCTTAGAATCGCCCAATAATAGAACTTCAATCAATTTTCCTGTGATCACATTTTTTTTCTTCAAGGATCACTTAAACTTTATTTCGTATATGTACAGGCGGATTTACGGGGGAGGGGGCGGCTTTCGGGCTGAAGCCCTCCCCCAAAATCGTAAAATATATCCATGCTTTATAGAAAAAAATATAAAAACTATCTCTTAAAGTATTATTACATTTAATATGACTTCAAGAATCGCTTAAACACCATGTATACCAATTCCAACCACATTCCCTAGGAAGCATTTATTTATTCATATTATTTATGAAATTTACAACTGTATAAATTAATATACAATTCATATTATTAAAACCAATAATTAATTACTAGCAAAAGTTACAGTTATTCTCTAACTAAAATGGAAAATAATACAAAATATTCAGAATAAACGGGAGAAGCTATATTAATTATTTTCCTGAAGTCGACTAACGCGTCAAGTTTTCACCAGTTTGGTATTAGGAGAACAGGAGTGCTTAGGAGACACGGCTCTCTGTTCTATCAATGCAACTTATCGTCAATTGATGCGTTTATCATAGGTTCCCGTACAGTGGGGCATAATACTATCTCCCCAATATTTTATGAAGGGGGGGGGCAGTCCCTACAATATTTTCGCCATTAATTTAAAAAAAATTAACAAAAACTTCAGTAAAATGTAATAATATTACAGATAATAAACTGTTACTCCTTTGTGTATGGCATTCTATTCTCCGTTTGCCCCTCTCCACACCCCCTTATTTGGGGGTGTGGACAGGGGCAAACAAAATAAGGCCCAATAAGGCCCCTCTTAACTAATACCTGCTTGTTATTCTTAAGGATCCTTGTCTCAGAACAAATCTTGTTTTCTATTCATCTATTCATCTATCTTAAGGTAAATACAAATATATGTACAATACAAGGATAATATACTGAACTACACCTTTAAGTACAATATTAATAATATTGTATATATATTATTAATATCAAACTTAAAAGTTTAAAGACAAAAAAACTTTATCGATGTAATATTAGAACAACACAGAATAGAGTTTTTTATTCAACAACACACACTTATATTTAATAGAATTATTAGTATTCGACTATTATATATATATATATATATATATATATATATATATATATATATATATATATATATATATTTATATTTGGTATATAAGAAATTGTAGAAGACTATGAGTGTAATGAATTCAATTGTAAATTCAAAAATATAGTTAGGCCAGTTAACGAATAGGTTCAAGACGGAACGACCAGAATTATCTTTATATGATTAAGGATTTTTGTCTGGATGTCAAATTTCATGTTTTTCTTTATATTGTATTTCGGAAACGGTAGGTCGTATCTTAAATACCGGTTGGTCATATCTTTAATAAATCGGCCAATTCTTAAATAACGGTTGGTCATATTAGTTATTCTTGCAAAAACAAAAACGCTATTCTTTTCTAAATATTTGAAATGTGATTAACTGTACTAAAATGAATAAATTGCTCACATTAAAAATACAGCGAAATTTTCTTTGCATGGAGCTGGACGGAATGGAAAGAATGGAAAGAATCTATTCTTATTCCGATTCACAAAAAGGGTCCGAGGACGGATTGTAATAACTATCGAGGAATTTCACTCCTCCCGGTATGTTATAAAATATTCACTTTAATCTTAACCAGTCGAATCACGGAATACGCCGAGGAAATTATCGGAGACTACCAATGCGGAATTAGACGGAATCGTTCGACTATTGATCAAATATTTTCTTTACGACAAATATTAGAGAAAAAATTGGAGTATAACGGTATTGTTCGCCAGCTGTATATAGATTTTAAAAAGGCTTACGATTCTATTGACCGCCAGAAACTGTATAATATTCTAATCGAGCAGGGGATTCCAAAAAAACTAGTAAATCTAGTCAGGATGTGCTTGACGAAGACACTCAATAAAGTTAGAATCGGTAATAATTTGTCCGAAAAATTTGAGGTTCGTTCGGGCTTAAAACAGGGGGATTCTCTTTCGCCTGTCCTGTTCAATTTGGCATTAGAACATGCCATTAGGGAGGTAATGCGAACCGAGAAAGGGTTGGATCTGGGCGGGACAACATCCGTGCTGGGCTATGCTGATGATCTGGTACTGTTAAGCGAAGACGTTGAAACTATAAAACTAAATACAACAACTTTAATGAAAGCCGGTAAAGAACTAGGACTCGAAATAAACGTGGATAAAACAAAATATATGGTTAGCTGCAAAAATGGCGTTATTGCGGGTGATATCGATATAGAAGGAAATATATTTGAACAGGTAGAGAAGTTTAGGTATCTAGGTTCTACAATAACTAGAAAAAACGAAATTGAAGAAGAGATTAAGGTTAGACTGAAGGCGGGGAATGCTTGTTATTTTTCTGTGACAAAACTACTTAGTTCGCGCCTCTTGTCCCGAAACTTAAAAATTAGAATCTATAAAACAATTATCTTGCCTACAGTTCTTTATGGATGCGAAACTTGGCCGCTTACATTAAGGGATGAGCAGCGTCTTAAGGTTTTTGAAAATAAAGTATTGCGTAGAATATTCGGACCGAAGAAGGATGAGTTAACCGGAGAGTTCAGACGGTTACACAACGCCGAATTGCGTGAGCTGTATCCGGGTAATATAATTGATGTAATTTCTACGCGGCGAATCAAATGGGCTTGTAAAGTTGTTGGGCTTAGTAACGAGAGAATTCCTAAAAGGTTAATATTTGCTGTGCCGAATGGTAAGCGTCCGAGGGGTAGACCGAAGCGAAGGTGGGAAGATTGCATTAAAGCCGATCTGAAGGGACTGGGTTTGGACGGCGAACGGTGGAGGGAGGTGTGTAACAAGCGATTGGTGGTGTCGGCATCGAACCTTCGGGTTCGCTAAGCCTTATTATTTTTATTTTTTTATTTATTTATTTTTTTTTTTTATTTTTTTTTTTTTTTTTTTTTATTTTTTTTTTTTTTTTTTTTGTCAACACTTTTACAAAAGGTTTTTTTTTTTGTTTACTTGAGAGGGGGAGAATCAACTCCAACCACCTCAGGTATGTTCAATTTTAATTACTATTGAATGTTGAGAAAGCTTCTTACAATTCTGGCAGTATTCAGCAGCACCGCTTTTTGAGCTTCCTTTATTACATGAGTTGGGAGGCCCAGCCTGTCAGTAGCTTCCACAGTAGACACCGGTACCAGGCCATTGCTGGAGATCACGATACCCCTAACGGTTACTTTATTAAGTTTATACAAACTTTTTAACTCAGCTGCTAGACCTTGATATTTCCGAATTTTTTCTGCGCAGACTGAGTTAATGTTTCCGTCATTTGGCACAGCGATATCTATAATTTCAGCCACCTTAATATTACCGTCAATTAATACAATATCAGGTCTGTTGTGGATCACGAGATGGTCTGTTATGAACGATTGGTTCCAATATAATTTTAAGTCATCTTTCTGGCAAATACCTTTACGGCAATATTTATAGTAGGGCTTCGAGTCGTTTAATAATTTAATTTTTAGACCAATTGCCTGGTGATAGACTTTGGCAACATCGTCATGTCTTTTTAGGTATTCTGTACCTGCAAGAGCTCCGCAGCCTCCAGTTATGTGTTGAATGGACTCATATGTGCTTGCACAGAGCCTACATTTGTCCGATACATTCTGTTGCTTCAAGACGTGTCGCCAGTAGGATCTGGTAGCTATAACCTGGTCCTGGATTGCAGTTAAAAAACCTTCAGTCTCGGGAAACAGACTTCCTCCTACCAGCCAGCTAACAGACAAAGATTTATCTATTTCAGTCTGCTGAAGCTGGTGAAAAAACCTTCCATGTAATGCTTTTGACTTCCATTCTTCCATGCGGTCTTTGTCGGTAACAAAGATTGGCGCAGTTTCATGAGAGGCTAATTGTAGAGCAGTGTGCCCGCGATCGAGATTGCAGATTATCTTATGACACGGCACTGCGCTTTGTTTAAAGTACTCCCTTAGGTTCTTTTCTTGATTTCGACAAGACTCTTCAATATTTGTAAGACCTCTCCCTCCTTCCTTTCTTGGCAGGTAAAGCCTTGCCATAGATGCAGTCGGGTGGTGCATTCTGGAACCCGTCATACTTGTTCTTATTAACCTATCTAATTCCTGGAGTGACGTTGTGGATCATTTTAGAATTCCAAAGCTGTAAGATAAGGAAGGAATAACCCATGTATTTATAGTTTTTATCATTAAACCTGAAGAAAGATGTGTTCTAAGGATGATCTTTAGTCTTTTTTTAAATGAACCTATCAATTTACCTTTTACATCCTTTCTAGCTATTTTTAAATGCTGTTCTATCCCTAGATATTTATACATATCTTCTTTCTGAAGGTTCTTAATATGATATTCTTCATTTAACAAGTTTTCGGAATTATTTGGTTTTCCTTTTATAACGTGAAGAACTGCGCATTTCTCAGTCCCAAGGGACATCTGTATGGAGTCACTAAAGTGGCTGACTGTCTTTAGCATAGACTGGAGCTGGGATTTATTCTTTGCGTAGAGTTTTAAATCGTCCATATAAAAGCTATGACTGATCATTGCACTTAATTCATTAAATTTTACTTTGTATCCACTTTCTTCACGATTTAATAAAATTGACAATGGAGCCATCGCAAGACAAAACCAAAGGGGGCTGAGGCAGTCTCCCTGGTATATACCTCTTGAAATGGTAATGTATTCAGGTGATTGCTTATCTCCTATTCTCAGTCTTGTTTTCCAGTTGTCCATCAATTTCCTCAGAAGTTCTTTAATATAAGGATGGATTTTATATAAATCCAGAACTTTTAAAAGCCAACTATGAGGAACTGAGTCAAATGCTTTTTTGTAATCAACCCAGGCTATTGACAAATTTCTTTTATTCATAGTCGTCTGGCCTGCAACGAATGAATCGATGAGCAAAAGTTCTTTACACCCTTGGGCTCCTTTTCTACAGCCAAGCTGCTCGAGTGGAATCAAATTATTGGTTTGCAGGTGAACTTCAATTTTACTTGTGAGGATGGATGTTAAAATCTTATACACACCGTTGAGGCAAGTGATTGGCCGAAAATCTTGGGGGTCCAATCGATCTCCTACTTTTTTGGGAATCAGCACAGTAACGCCCTCACAAAACGTTTTGGGAATGTCTATCTGCCCTGTTATCATTTTTTTATAATTCATTGCAAGTGTTTCATGCAGGCAGGAAAGATTCTTTAACCAGTAATTCTGAATTCTATCACTACCCGGCGCTTTCCAATTTTTCATTTTCTTTGTAGCGATGATTACATCCTCTTTCGAGATGTCGAATTCTGGCATTTGAGGTTTCTCCTGAAGTTCAGCATTTACTAATTTTAACCATTCGTTTTCATTATTATGCTCTACATTGTGCTCCCAAAGCTCTTTCCAATACTCTATAATATTGTCAGTTAATGAACAATTTGCACCTCCCTTATTATCATTACCTAAGCTCCGATAATAAACTGCTGCTCACTGTTTTTGAACATTTTGTTCTGCTGTTTTCGAAGTAACGACTTTTTATATCTTCGTATTCTGTTTGCATAAACTGCAAGTTTTTGCTTCAGTATATCAGCATGTAAAGCCAGTTTTTCGGTGAGCTCAGATTCTAACACCACCCCTATTTGTAGTACAACTATTTCGTCGATTTTTCGTTTTACTTTTGTACTTGCTCCAACGGGGTTCCTGATATAACTCGTTATGACTCCAATATTTGCCCTGAGCGAAGCTATTTTATTTTGCAATCTTCTCTGCCAGCGTGGAAGTTTTGTATGATTTTTATCTTTCTTTTTTCCATGTTTTTCCAAGCCAAGTTCAATAATAATGACACTAGCTGCAACATAGGCCCAATGACAAACAGCTTCGACAGTCATTTCTGGGTAATCTACAATAATTCTACTCAGAGCCTCATTAACCCGATTCACAGTCAACCGTGATTTGAAGCTATAGGGAATCTTTGAGAGGATTGGTCTATCATCAAGCGGTATCCCCTCATAAATCACATGCTGGGATAATAATGATTCCCCTAGTTTGTCAATGTCTTTGTCTTCTTCTTCTGGAGGAGCTGCCTCTATTGCCATCGATCTTTCTAGAAAAGGTTCTGTTGGCTGCTCTTCATTTTCAATTTGCACCATTCCTAATCGTTCAGATACTACTATTTTGATATTTTCTGTTTCCACTTCAGATAGAAATTTTCTTGAACGGATCACTCTAACTTGGTCACTTATCCTTTGTGAACTCATAGTCATCTGTGGATATAGTTCTTGCCAATACTGTTGAATCCTTCCTAGGTATCCCGTCTTATCTGTTTCCAATTTTGTTGCCAAAAGATATGCCTGGATGACAGCCTTGTTCATTTCTGGCGTCCATTTCATCCTTCGAGCACCTCTTGGTCTCTGTTGCCGGGTTCGTGCGGGAGGAGAAATAGTCTCGCCCAAGCCCGAACTCGAACTAGTTGCCGGTTCTTGCAGTCTTGTGGTCCTTTGCGACAGGGTGGCGCCACTTGCTCCGCCACTACCTGAAGGAAGCTGTCGAAGGTTCCCGCCTGGTGCAGCCTCATTCCCAGGCTCGTCCGAGGCTATACGTCGATTTCTTAGCTCCATTTTTTATGGGTGATTGCATTTTAAACCTTCTGCCAGGCCTTCCTAGGTAAGGTTGCCCTAGGGTGTGTACTGCAAATGTCCTTGGTGTCAGTGTATGTGGTATTGTGTACTGTGATGTATGTGTTTGTGAACGGTGGGATGTACTCAGAATCCCGGGGGAGCGTAAAACCCCAACAACTGCGTTCATCAGTTGCCCTTGCGGATTTATTATTATTATTATTATTTATGGAGCTGGACGGATTACACCATTCAGCAGCTATAGATTTATAAAATAATTCATGCAATTGTTTCCTGGTTCATCGTCAGAAAATTCGTCTTTTAGGAAGAATTATCCACGCATCTTTCGTTAATTCGTGTAACTCCTTGATTTTTTGAAGGAGTAGTGAATTAATAATTCCGTCTTCCACATCATCGGAATCAGACTCGGAACTTAATAATGAACCAATAAAAAAATCATTAATTCTACCCAAGCTGCATCTGAACTTAGGAAGATAGGGACATGAATCAGTAGTGGATTTAGGATTTGATTTTGGTTTTATTTTATTACGGTTATTACGCTGGAAGAAAAAGAAAGGAGCTATACAAAATGACTTTAATGTTGTCCTTAAAGGTCTGCTGAAAAAAAAAAAACAACGGTAATTACAGGAAAAGTAATGATTGTTCTTAATTAATGATTATTTCTAATATTAGAAATAAATCAATTGTTTATCTATTACTAGAATAATAATAAACTCTAGCAGCTCAGTTGAAAGAACTATACAGAATGAAAAAAGTGACTCTGGGGGTTATAGTGATCTCCAGCAATGTTCTGATAATACTAGTACCCACTGTGGAAGCTACTGAGAATTTGGCTTCCCAACAGCTAAAGCTGTGGTGCTGAATAGTGTGAGGCAAGGGTGCTTAATCCCCCCTCCAAGATCGATGGCGCATGAAATTCTCCCTCCCTTCCAAGAAATTTGTTTACTCCCCTCCTTTTTGAAAACATTACAAGCGAAAGTAGAATTAGAAAAATCGCAGATCATTTACAAATACACTTGCGGTGGTATGGTCCGTGTGTTTCCTCTTGTTCCCAGGATTGAAACTTTTTCACTCCGAAAAATCATAATCCAGTCGAATCCAGTGCCCCCCTTAAAAATTCAAAATCCACTAAAAAAGTGCCCCCTCCAAAATTTTGATGGCGTAACTCGCGCCATGAAACCCCCTTCTGGGCACTCTGCTGTGAGGATTGTTAAAAAGTTCCTTAATATAAAATAGTTTTATAAACACGATCTGACTTGAAACGGTTGGTCTCTTCTTCCCCACTTCAAGAAAATATCTCTTAATGAAAGTGTTACAAGCAAATAAATAATAATCTTTTTAGGGTTAATTTTTTTTCTTGGCAAGCTTACGTTTAGAATCAGCATATGAGTTAAAATTTAAAAAGGGAACAATACTGAATGTTTACCTCAGAACAGAGACAGAAACAAATATGGATTAATATATATATATATATATATATTATTTTTCAATTTTTAGAGGCTCAAAAGCCGCTCATCTCTCCTCCTTGTTCCCCTAGAAGGTGTCATGTTGATAACAGGTTATTTATTTATTTTTTTTCAAGGGATTTATGCATTAGTTTATTTTCTTAAAAAGAAAAAGAAAAAACAACTAAAAATTCCATTCAGTATAAATTCAGTCATTCTTCATCAATCATTCTTTCAAATTGAAAGAGGTGAGGGAGGGAAACGACACAGAATCGTTACAAAAGCGTCAACTTTCTACAGTTCAGTCCCAGGAGAGCAGGAGCGCTTAGGAGCGCTTGACTAATTTCACCAGCTTTAACTGTGGCTCTGACCTCTGACTGGCTGCTTTAAATTTTAATTCCACTTTTAAAAAAGCTTAATATTTATTTTAATTTGATTTAGAAAGTTATTAAGTATTATCATGAAACTTAAATTTTAAGTTTTGAAATTTCCTTCTCCCCAAATTATTAGTTAATGTATGTTAAATGACACTTATCTGGATAATTTGGTTATTTATCTGAATGTGCCAACATTTCAACAGATATTAAGCCAAAATAAATAGGAGTTCTGTGTCTGCTTGAGACTTAACTAGGTACCTCAATCTCATGAGAAAATCAGTAAAAATAATCAGATTTAATAAGAAAAATAATTACAAAAACATTTTTACAACAAACTTTGTAAGATCATCTTAATACAATGTTTATAAACAGCTTAAAGACCAAATAGATAACGATAGCTGTTACAAAAAAAAAAGAAAAAAAAAACCTGTACCACCACTACAACCCATGAAGGGTCTTGGGTTCAGTACTATTTAGGGAAAGCACTGTTTCTTGGTCTACGGTTGTGCAAGGAGGTGATTTGACCGAGATCACGGTCAAACATCAAGTTTTTTCCCTTAATTAATTATTTTAATTATGGGTACCCACTTTATAGGAGTTGGGTGTGCCCCAGGAGGGTTTACCTACCTAGGGTCGCCCCATGACCAATGAAAAACAATAAATAATTTTTCTGCCTTGGAAGTTCAGTACCCTACCACTAAGCTACCCCACTCCCTAAAAAAAGTTACAAAAAAAAAATTAAATAAATTCCATTCACTGTACAGAGAGTTGCAATGGACAAATGTTACAATATTTAAAAAAATAATTTATAAACATTAAAAAAATAGTTGCTTGGATCATAAAAAAATATATATATGCTATAGAAGAACATAAGAAAATATTTCACTTGCACAACATATTAGATTGTAAAGCATATTTTCAATTTAGGAGAACAGCAATTTTTAAGCAGAGTATATAAATATAAAAAAAATTTCTTGTAAGCATTGCACAAAAGAGATATTATGGAATATATTCTGTAAAAAAAAAACTATGTCGTAAAGTAGCTGAGGCAGTTTGTATGTAATAGTGTTGAAGAACAAGAAAATCATTATCAATGCCATTAATAATGTTCATTGAATTTACATTCATATTAGAAAAAAAGAAATATACATATTTTAACTAATATATTGAGCACTGAAAGTAAACATAATCTGTAATGAGAGACTGATTCTCCCTATTTAGTGTAATTTTATTTTTAACTCTGCAATATTTTTTTCATTGTGTTATAAGTTAATTTTTATATAGACCAGCTGCACAGGTTTGGATAATGCCTTATTGTCCTAGGAATTAATAAACTAGATATATTTGCTTAAACAAAGTCTCATTGTGTTTTAGGTTTTAGGTTGTGTTCCAAGAGGAGTGTAAAAGAAAAAAATTATCAATCACCATCATACTTCGTGACCTGACACCCTCTACATAGACTTGTTTGTTTTAACGAACAAGGAAAAAATCCAAGTCATGTCAAAATAATTTTCATTTTATACTCATAAGAAAAAAAAAAAGAAGATATTATAATTTACAATGGATATTCATCAAATAATGAGGGAAATAAACATGAAAATTCCATGTTTAAAAGATAAAATGAAAATTACTCTGTCTAGAACTCTTTCTTTTCAAATCCAAGGCATCTATTAACTGGACCTGGGTACAGGCCAAAATAATACTATGGGTCCTCTCCCACTCAATATTTAATGTGTTTTAATTTGTTGCCAGATTTAATTATAATTGTAGAGATATTGAACTGAGATCGAATAGTAGAAGTTGGTTGGTAGGTGAAGTTAGAGATGAAATTATACTCAAATAAGAAACCTCATTTAATTGAGGGTCAGTAACAAAATAAGGCCCACCCTCAAGATTTCAAAGAACAAAAGTAAAATAGAAAAATAATATATATAAATATATAAACTCATTTTTCTAAATAGCGTTATATTGTTCGTTTTACAATAATTATGTTGATTATGTTAATTGATCTGAATGAAAAGTCCAGACCTGTTCAGTTTTGATTAAATAAATCAAAAGTAACATTCCTAAGAACTTAACTATAACTAGTCTATTATTTCGAAAAACAATTATTAGAAACAGACATTGGAGTTTTTTAATATTCTATATTCATGAATTGTATTTAATTTCTCTCATAGGAAGAAGGCTTTTGAGATGTTATTAGTAATAATAAAATAAATTACAAACGCGCTCAAGAATAACAAACAATAACGTCATGTTTCCAACAGTGTAATACCAGGAGAGCAGGAGCGCCTAGGAGGTGTTACTCCTCCAATATCGGTATTAACCTAGGCCATATGTTATATATGATTGGAATGCTACTTCTCCTCAATTAATATGTATATAGATTTATTTTCAGATGTGACTTTAAGGTTAAATGTACAAACGGGTACATAATTCTTATGAATTTCCCCAATTCAGGCATCATCAGAACAAAAAAAAAAAAAAAAAAAAAAACAGCTAATCGAACATCACTGCATAAAATCCAATCGCATACTGTATTCCATGTTCGATTACCTATTTTTTTTTCTATCCTCATGCCTGAATTGGCGAAACGTTGAGGAGGTTTTCATTGCCTGCATTTTGGAGACAAAAGGGTGTATGGTTAGGAATTTTTGCATAATAAACTAACATTTATGTTCTGTCTCTTCACGGGCGGATTTACGGAGGGAGCTTTTGGGCTGAAGCTCCCCCTCCCCCTCCCCCCAAAATGGTAAAATATAACCATGTTTTATGGAAAAATATATTAAAAAATTATCTCTTAAAG